AGTGAAAAATTTAAGGGGGTCTGAATACTTTCCGTACCCACTGTATATATATATATATTGTGACGAGTCAGCTGCCTCCCCCTAATTATCATCATCACCCCGTCCCTTAATCGCTGCCCTTCGCCAGGCTCCCGACAGGAGTGGGTGCGTGAGAGAGGAGGGGCGCTGAAATAGATCCCCTGTTTATTTTGGACACTTTATTCCCTTATCTGGACACTGTTTATTATTTGTAAATAAAAGCCTCTCCGAGGCCTGACGCCACACCCACTGTGTCTGTCGTTTGCTCCTCCCGTGACAATATATATATATACAAGTCATAGATGGGAATCAGCTGTGATTTATATATTTATATACAGTATATACAGCTGTTTCTCATTAGCAATGGAATAAAATAAAGGGGATATATTTGTGTTTAAATTCACAATATGAACAGCTGTTGACTTTCACTTTAGCCTGCAACTTAGGCTTAGAACATGATGTTATCTGTTCCGACATGCAGTGTGAAAGCATTTGTAAATTTGGCAGTAAAAATGTATTGTTTTGGTCTTGGTTGAGCTTGTGTGTAAAATAAGTTCAAGCATTTTAAATTTGTGTTAACGGTATGAATTTTGTGTCAAAACAACAAGAAATGTGTTAATTTTATAGCCTACAGAGACCGATGTTGTGCTAACTGTGTTACAGTTCCTCTTCAGGAACTCGAGCTGCATCAGAGAAGGCTTTGGGAATGCCTTCAGTGTGACCGGCTCTGAATCATGTGTGTAATCAGTCCAATGGATGGGCGAGACGTCACGGGCGGGGTGACGTAGCGACCAGGAAGCTTAAAAGCACGTGCGGTGAAACCGGCGTCAGCTTTCTGTCATTCAGCAAGCGCTCTGTGTGTGTGTCAGTCTGATATCTGTTTGTGAGTCTTATTTAGTGTTGTTTGTCATGAAAATCATGTCAAAAGCGTCTCTCCCTGCATGTACTCCGCTCCCGGAAGGCTCTCTTTGCGGAGGGAGCCTTCTCTAGCATTCCCCACGGTGCTGGTCCCGCTTCCGCCGAGGCAGAGCTGCAATCATGCTTGTGGGGTTCGCAGATGGATCTGGTGGAGGGAATGGAGACGGGCGAGTCCTTATCTTCTTCCTCACCCATCAGATCCAGCGCCCGCTCCCTGGGATCAGAAGCCCGCTCTGTGGTTTCTTCGCCCCGGGGAACGGGCTCGACGCTCTGCCTGTCATTAGACAAGCGTTTTCGGCGTATTAAGCCGCCACCTCCGTGCCGGAGCCTGCATTTTTTCCCCGACCTCCACACTGAGGTGTCAAGGTCGTGGGGAAGAACTTTCTCAGCCCGCCTCTTCATCCCCGCTTCTGATTACTACGGCAATGTGGCGGGGATGAGCGAGCGTGGTTATAAGACGATGCTCAAGCCGACCTGCTCAAAGAGCTAGACGAGGGTGAGCAGGTAAAATCTGAGGATATTACCGAGCTCAGGAGGACCGCTGATTTGTCTCTCCGCGCCACCAAGGAGACCGCCCGTGCTATTGGTCTATGGCAGCGATGGTGGTGGCGGAGAGGCATTTGTGGCTGACTCTGTCAGATATGAAAGAGAAGGACAGGGTCTGCCGCATGGACGCCCCGTTTGAGCATTCTGGCCTGTTTGGCGACGTCATCAATTCCATCGTCGACAGGTACCAGGAGGCTCATAAACAGGCAGCGGCATTCCAGTGGTTCCTCCCTTACTGCTCTCTAGGTCTGGGGGCTGCCGAGCGGGAGCAGCCCCCTCCGAGTACCAGCTCCTCATACAGGAAGGCATAAAAACAGAGCGTCGCCTCACGTACTCCCCCACGGCGGGAACGTGAGTCAAAGCGTGGAAACTACTGCCAAATGTGTCTCAGTGGGTCCTGAACACTGTAGAGAGAGGCTACAGAATCTAGTTCAGTTCTCCACCGCCTCGTTTCAAAGGGGATATTCCCACGCTGGTGGGCCCCGAGCAGGCTCTGGTCATGGAACAGGAAGTAGACACTCTCTTGAGGAAGGAGGCCATCGAGGTGGTCCCTCCTCATGCGAGGCAGTCCGGGTTCTACAGCCGGTACTTCATAGTTCCGAAGAAGGATGGGGGTTGCGTCCCATTTTAGACCTGCGTCAGTTGAACCGCTCAGTCATGCGACTGAAGTTCAGGATGCTCACACTCAAACAGGTCGTGTCTCAGATCAGGTACGAGGACTGGTTTGTCACGATCGATCTAAAATACGCATACTTCCATGTATCCATCCTTCCCACTCACAGGAAGTTCCTGAGGTTTGCTTTTGGGGGCAAAGCATACCAATATCGGGTTCTTCCTTTCGGACTTGCTCTCTCACCCCGCACTTTCACGAATTGTGTGGATGCAGCTCTGGCTCCGCTGCGACTCCGGGGCATCCGCATACTGAACTATATCG